TCTTTCAGGCTATCATCTATTGTCCTGAGATTAGTTGTTCTAATTTGCTTCCGTGTTCACACGTTGGAATTTAATTGAAGTTTAAATTGTTTCTTTTAGATATACCAGCTGCCTCATTTTGAAATACAATGGATCCAAATTAAACACTTAAAAAAAAATAAAAGTAAAAGTTTCAAACCGACTGCATCTTAAAAGTCTGTGTATGGATACGGAAACTGTTAGACTTAATTTCCTAGTACTGAGGGTCACTTCTTGAAACAGCTAGTCGCTTTTCTTTATAGTATATAGAAAGACAAGAGTAAATGCAGATGTTCCAGGTATACTCCTTCAGTTAAACCCCTTCATCTACTTGTTTTAAGCTTGAAAAAGTTCTAGTATTATGCACAAATGCAAAAGATGGAGGAGAACACTGATTTGTTTGGTTCGGTAGGAACCTCCAGTCCAAAGATACTGTGAATATTAAGGAGCATGGAGAGGTACAGAGCAGCTGCATGCCTCACTTTGACCATCTGAATGTTCTTAAATATCAGTTTTATTGATCACTGCATAGAAGCTAAACTAGATAACAAAGAACTAAAACATCACTCCTACCTTCTTGCAATCACTTTGCTAAAACAGTTTCACACTATAATATTTTACAATTAGTTCCCATGTAATGCTAATGTTATCATTTTTGGCCTGTTATATCTTTATAGTGATTTTAAAATGTTCTGTATTGCTCAGTTTAGCACAGTAGATGGTGCAGATAAGCAGAAAGCAGGTTTGTTTTTATGATTAGGAGTCTCTTCTGCCTGCACCTGTTGTTCTGCATCAAGACTGTGATCATAAACTGTCTAACTAGGATTTTTTGAGGATTAGCCCATTTACCTTTAAACCCACCACCAGCTATTAGCTCAGTTACTTCAGTCTGTAAGAGCCGTATTTTAACTTCTCATGACCCGCCTGATTTGTTTTTCAAATCTGTTGCAGGCTAATTTGACTGACTAGATCCTTGCTTGTGTTGTGTCTGCTCTCAGATGTACGTCACTTTGGATAAAAGCATCTGCAAAATGAAATTGTAGAATTGTAATTTCAATAATCAATAAAGAAAGCAATTCAGTTATAATGACTCCTACCATTCCCACTTAACCCCTCAGATTCCCCGACTGTCTGGCTTTTTCTCCAGGGTTGATCATAACCATATATATTCTTTCAAGCCCATGTAGTTTTTCCTCAAAAAAAATAAAGTTGTAAAAATCATACATCCTTAACTGCATCTCATCCTTCTATCCCATCCATGTGTGAGGCTGAAGCAGGCTTACCTCTTCTCAGTCGTCTGGGACCTCGGCAGGGTGTGTCAGGGCAAGCTGAGAGTGTGGTCCACAACAGTTGTGCTCCGTTTTTATACTTGCTGCCACCCTCTGCGCATCATTCAGGCTTAACCGGCTCATTATTGCAGTCGTTGCTTGCCTTGTAATCCAGTTAATCAATCAGCGGATAGCTTTTTTTGGGACTACAAAGGGTTTAAAAACAGCAACCAGCTAAATCACAGCGACAGAAATACACGAACACAGTCGCCACATGGCTGTGGTAGTAGTAGGCTGATAATCCTCCACAGGCCAAGTTAATCAAGGCCACTCAGTTTAGAAAGAAGAATAAATCAGAGTCAGAAAGTTTGAGGCTTTTTGAAATTGTTGTCCATTTCTGTGAGGGGGAATTATTATGATTTTTTTTTCCCCCCAAAAAGGAGCCGATGAGTTTTTCCATTACACATGTGTTTAATTTTAGCATTTAGAGTTGCTATTATTAGCCTGGTCTGTGAGCTGAGCTTGTCTTAAACAAGGGGTCATGCCAAGTCATTAATTAAAGGCTGAAGAATTACATATTATTGTTTTCAGAATATTAGTTTTTATAGTGTTGCTCATAATAGCTCATTTTTTTCTATCAATACATGAGAGGAAGACACGTATTTGGTCAAAGAGGCAACAGTAAACAAATCTAAGAAAGGATTTAAAATGTGTTTCTTTGGAAGTAGCTACTTTACTCTTCACCTTTGATTAAACTTTGTGAAGAAGTGTGAAGATTCTCAGTATTCCTGTCTGTCTGATCTTAGCAGATTAACAGCTCCCAGTCACATTATGGTACGGATGATGGGAACACTGACAGCAAAGTCAGAGAAAGCTGTCTTATCTAAGTATCTCAGTAATGTACCAAAGATTAGGAGGAATCAGCAGAATTCCCATCGATCTCCGAAACCCCTTCAAATCCTTCCATTGGTCTATTAGAACAAGCTCATGTGTGTGTGGAATGAAGAGGAAACAGCACATTTGTCATGGCTTGCGGGCTTAATGGACACAGTAGGTCATGTTTTAAGAAAGGGATTGTTCAATACTAGTTGTAAAATGATTAATCTATTTGTAAAAAATAAAAAAAAGACAATTAGATCTTAGTTAGACTAAAGTCAAACTCAGTGTAGAGACCTTTGAGCCACCAGGATGCCCCGCAAGTCAAAGGTTAGGGTGTTGTGCCGACATGGCTTAACAGAGGCCTTATTTAGCTCAAATCAAAATATAGAACGCTGTGCAGGTAGGGTGTTATGTGAACGCCTTATCAGCTCAGGTTGTTTTTATTTTGAATGATGCAAGCTTGATGTGGAAAAGGTTATTTAATGACAAACATTTCCCTGGCTGGATGAACTTTCTTGCCTCCACGGCATTCGTCCTGATCCACACCTATTCGCGAGCGCTTTCAGGTAAAGTGACGCCTAAATAGTAGGTTCAGCAACAGGTCACATTGCCACCATACTAATCACCGTTTCATCTGCCTCGCTTCCAGGAAACTGTGTGTTGGGCTTGAGGACTTTTGCTCATCAGCCTAAACGTGGAGTGACAGTTGGATTCCCTCTGAGAAGGATCCACCTATGGAACACATGGACAAACACTCACGCTCAGCTGTACACAAAGAAAAGAGATCTGGAGGAGGAAAGAGACAAAGAAAGAGCAGCGTTTGACTTTGGGATTTCTAATGTAGAAGATGTCAAATATTAGCCAGTCTGAAAATCTGAATGTTAGATATTTAATGCAAATTGCCAAAACAAAATAAAAATAGCAGTAATTTGACATAAGTGAAAAAGGATGAGAAAAGGTCTCGGGAACAAAACTTGACTTTCACTGAACTGCGCTTAATCTAAACACCTGACTGCTGGTGAAAAGAAAAAGGCACAGATTCTTCACCTACTCTATGTACATAATCCACATTGTCTTAAACACAAAAAGATGATAAATAAACATCATCCAAAACAAAGGACAACAGATTCAAAGACGATACAAATTATGTTTACTGGATTCTTTTGACATCTGAGTCTCTTTCACTGTCTCCTTTAGCCAAACTCTGAGAAAAAGCTGCATGTTTAAGCAAAATTGATTACACCAACACAGGCTCACATTCAAACACAGCCTAATGACCTGCTTATTTTAAATAATGTTGCCAAAAATGTACCAAATACCAACAATCCTACTGTTTATATGTTCATTTTAACCACAAAGACGCACTCTCGACGCAAATAGATCCACCCTGTTTTTGAAAACACCAGCACGTGCTGACGGGAATAAACACCAGAGGAGGACTGAGAGGTTTTATTTAGGCCGAGTTAAGGCACTGAGCCTTTTAAAGGCAAACACTTGAGGCCAAACACACCAATAATGATGCAGTGAGTGTCTTGGTGAGGAGCATCGGCTGAATGGCGAAAACAACTCATTCAATAATTCATGGACTACGACAGAATGAAAAGGGGTGCGATAATGCGCAGCCACAAAATGATGAGACAAATGTTTTGAAGTACAAACAAGACAAAACTACGCGAGATGGGATAAAACAATACATTATGGAGAAGAAATAGAAAAAGAACAGAGAACTGCCTCGGGGCTCCAGACCCCCAGGGGCCCTAAAAAACCAGGTTCATTGTACATTTAATGACTTTTGATGATTTAAAGTGTGTAATAACAATAAAAAAACAACACAAGGTTAAGCATTAAAAGTAGTTTCAACATTGGTGGGTCCTGCATTGAAACCAGGTGGATCTGATGTGTTGAAGGCTGGAGTCAAATCTGTTTTTTAGTTTGTGCTCATGATGTGACATATGATGTTACAAAACTCACAATGTGGGAATTTTTCTCTGGTGAGTGATCAGTAAATTTTTATCTTATCTTATTTCCTGATGTTTAGTTAAGGTTAAAAGTTTAATTAAAGTTGTGTTTAATCACATAGAGCCACTGGTCTGGACCCAGGTTTACTGTAGTCTGCTGTCTGCTGAGTGTCCCTGTGTGGCTGTCTGGTCTCAGTCTGTCTTGTTGAGACCTTGCAGGTCACAAGGTCATGTTCTCAACAGTGTAGACTATTTTTGACCAAAGGCCCTTTAATATGTTAATCTGGCCATGTCTGCTGCTGGTGTCAAAAGGTGAACCACAGGTGACTCAAAGTCTCCTGAGTTTAAAGCGCCATCTAGTGGAGCGAGTGGAATATTTCAATACAATACAATACAATCTTCCCTTTTTTATTTCTCAGTCTAATGTCTTATTGTAATTAAACAAAAACGCAAAAAAAGAACAAAAAATAGCCATTTTCGACTTCAGAGACTTGAAAAAATTTCATTCATATTTAAGAGTTTTATTCTTGCGCATTCCTTGGTATCAGTAAAATAAATGACTCAATCATCGATTAGCCAGATTTTAATTTTAATAATGATAGGGTAGATTTTCCGTGCATCTGTGCAGCAGCCAACTTGTTCTGGCTTTGACGTCAGGTAGGTGAAACACACCCCACCATCCTGGTCCAGAGTGCGTCTGCTGAGGTGCGCACTCAGCGCGCCGCTCGGCCCACCCGGACACTGCAGTGGAGGTTACCGTGCCATCGCTGCGGCTCCTCGCTCGCTCCCGAGAACCGCGTCCCGCTGCACACTTTCCCGGGCCCGGGGAGAACAGGGCAAAAAAAAAACCCAAACCACTGCGCAGAACAAGGAAGCCATGGCCGAGTCCAACCCGCTGCGGGGCTTCCCCCGCCTGCGCCGGGCCGCGGTAAGCTCCGCCGAGAGGTGGGGAGGTGGGAGGCTTCAAACGGGGCGGCGAGGATACTGCAGCAGAGAGAGGAGAGAGCTGTCTGAAGTGTGTTCTGTACTGCGACACACGGGCTGGGGATGTGTTCTCAGTGCAGAGCAAACTGCATTAGATATTAGAGACGCCTGTCGGTGAGGAGACTGATCAGATTCAGATGCTCGTTCAGTGTTGAGTCTGTGTCGGACAGGCCAATGACAAATGTGCGTTTATGTGTGTGCGTTTGTTTGTCTGGACTGCAGGTGCAGAACAGTAACGGCTCTGACGCTGCAGCATATAAATGTGGAATGTGTTCAAGTTGTGCAGCTCTATGGGACAGAGAGTTGATGTACACAAATCTGAGTGCAGTTGTGGAATGCAGATGCGCCTACAAGTCTTCAGTTACATGCATCATGGCTGCTATATGAGAGAATGTAAACCTGGTGCATCATTATGTACAAAAGTCTGCTGTAGAAGGATGAGCAGAGGAGGAATCTGTGTATATGGTCTCAAGTCATCAGTGTTTGGTTTAAAGGTACAGCAGGTACTACTGGAGAAAGTTCTTTTGGAACTGCCAGCAAATAGCCTCGCAGCTTTGTTTCTGAGTGTAGATAACTAATTTAACAGCCTCGCAGTGAGTGAAAAGGCAATCACATCCTTGAGCTTTTGCATGTTTCATCAGATAAAACATTAGAGTGGATGAGAATGTGAAACGAGTGCACGGAAAACCACAGTTATCATAAACCTCCTCTTGCTGGCTTATCAGCTGATATGGACCAGATAAGATGTAAAACTCTCCCTCATGGTCAGTGATTCTGCAGGCCACATGATCTGTGCAAACACGGTGAGTTCAAAGGAAATTTTGGAGTGGACAGTTTGGGGGAGAAAGGGGACGAGACAAGGATAAAGGATGGCAAGGTGGTGAAGAAAAAGAGAGAACACTTAATGTCTAATTACTATTCAGTCTTGTGTTATCGTCTTTCCAAGCTGGACGTAGTAAGACGATCCATGCACAGTTTACGGTACAAGGAAGGAAATGTGAGGTCATGCAGGGGGATGACAGCTGATAACCCAAGGGAGAAGAGTGACAAAGGAGCAGAGGAGGAGACTCTCAGACGTGCTGAAGTGCTGTTAAGGCTAAAACACTTCCCAGACTGACACTGAAGGATGCTGATGCTGTGTTGAGCTTTGCTGGACTTCACAGTGAACAGCATTCAGCTGTCAGTGCCTCTGACTGATTGGTTGATTCCTCTCAGTCCTTCATTCTGTGGTCTTCTGACACCCAGGGATGTGGTGAAGGATAAATAGACCGATATAAATAATGTCCCTAATTGCAGTCTATCAAACATGTTCCTGAATCCCTGTAAGTCAGAGCTGCTTTGGTTTAGATTTCTGAATAAGACTGATTTACACTTCAGGTGAAACCAATTATAAACCATCTTGTGGTAGTTAATCAAACTGGTCCAAAGCAGTAAACTGCCAGCAATCAACCTGAAATGAGAAGCAGGAACAGGGTCTTTTCACATGCTTGTGATGTGTCACAATAGGAAATATACTGGTGTGTGTTTTTAGCTTTGGTTTTGTGCATGCTGGCTCAATGTCATGACTTACAGGGCCTATAAAAGTGCTTTACTACGGTCACTTGAGACTAATTCATTGCATCAGAGTGCAATGAATGTGTCTCATGAATGTGTCCACCTTTATTGTTTCAATATAGAATCATGGTGAATTTATTTTTGGCTTTTTTTGGACAAGAATTTACCAAAAAGCATTCACGTGAAAGTGAAAACACCTTTGTACAAAGACAAGTGGGGCTAGAGGTCACACAATCAGGAGAAAATAGAGATCATCTGAATGCAGTGAATGTCTCTCAATGATTGTAGTATAAAGACACCTGTACCTGTCCAGTCCAGTCCAGTCACTGGTGAATCAAAACTCTTGGCTATAACTACACAATGAAGACAAAGGAAGACTCCAAGCAACTCTGTGAAAAGGTGACTGAAGAGCATAAATTGGGGTGGATACATGAAACTTTCCAAGTCACTGAATATCCCTTAGAGTCCAGTTTAATCCATCATTAAGTAATAGCACAAATATGGCACATTCTTAAATGCACTTAGAGCAGGCCGTCTTCAAAAACGGAGTGACCTTGCAAAAAAAGAGATTAGTGAGGGAGACACCTATGACTCCTCTGAATGAGTTACAAACTTTGGTGGCTGGGATGGGAGAGACTGTGCATATAATAACTGTTGCCTGTTCTTCACCAATCAAAGCTTTATGTGAGAGTGGCAAAAGAGCCACTGTTGAAGAAAGCTCATAATAAATCTTGACGAGAGTTCACCAGAAGCCATATATAGGGCTCTGAAGACATCTGGAAGGAGGTTATTTGGTCTTGACGATATGTTTAGACACCAAGCATTTACAGACACAATGTCCCCACTGTGAAGCATGGCGGTGGCAGCATCATAATGTAGGAATGAATCTTGGCATTTTATACATACATTTTATATTCTTAATTCATGGCCTTTCCTTTGTAGAAATATGCTTCTACTTTGACATGAATTAGTCTTTTTTTGTAAATTGTTGGGAGTGAATACTTTCTATAGGTACTGTGCTTGTATCCTTTAATAGTATTAAGGCATAATTAATGCTAAGGGTAAAACTTGTGGATTTTCAACTATGATACTGTGACATGAAAACGGTTTGGTGAAGCTTTTAAAAACCATACTTGCACATTGGATGAGTGTGTGTGATGTTGGTGGCTTCCTTGAAAGATTTGTTGAGTAAAGGATTAAAATGATATCTCTGTTTTGTCTTTTTTCAGACCTCATTTCCTGGTAATCTACACTTGGTGTTGGTGCTCCGCCCCACCAGCTTGTTAGGCTCTGCCCCCAGTCCGTCCTCAAGCACTGACCTGGGCTTTCGCTTCAGCCAGGATGACTTCCTGTTAAAGATGCCGGTGAGAGGAGTTTTAAAAACTGAGAATTATGAGAGAGGAGGATTTTATTTTATTTTATTTCTTCCACTGTAAACATTGCAAACAACAATGTTACTGCTGAGATGCTGCATGTTTTCTTAAAACAGTACATTTTGTCACCTGTCAAAATGTCAGACGCTGCACAACAAAGGCCAGATGCCTCTTGGTTTCTACATTTTGTAGGTGGTGATGCTGCGTTCAGTTGGCGACCTGCTGCGCTACATCGATGAAAACCACTTGACATCCGACTTCACTGCAAAAGTGGAGTATTGCCAGAGTGACTGGATCGTCCTCCGCACGGTATGCACTTCAGATGCTACCTAATCCACTTAAGCATGGTGCATTCCTGTTCGTATGAAAAGTTAGATTAAAGCTCTTTGGATCTGAAAATGAAATGACACCAGAACAACTAGCAATACAGCTAGACTTAGACCAGATGTAATATCCCAATGTCTTTATAGAAGGACCCTTTGTTCCAGATCTTTTTTTTAGTTCTTGTATTTAATAATCTGGCTGCTCACTATCTGTTCATGTGTCTTTTTTGGCTGAACATGTTTGTGTCTGCAGGCCATTGAGACCTTTGCAGTGACCGTGAAGGAGATCGCCCAGCTGCTGCAGGGCTTTGGATCAGAGCTGTCTGAGACCGAGCTACCAGATGAAGCTAATGCCATTGAATTCCTGCTGCACTCACACACCCACCGATACCGACAGATGAAGGTTGCTGCTCGCTCCCCGCTCTTCCCTCCGTCTCTTTCTCACTTTCCACCTCTGTATCTGACAGTTTCTGTGCTTAATCTCTCAGATTCTTCCATTCACGTTGGCCGTGGGTGGTTTTTTTCATTTTCCTTTTGTCGCTGTTTTGCCAGGACGACATCCGCAGTGTGCTAAAGGAAGGACGTCTGCTGTCGTCCAACTTGGAAACTGTCAAGGCCTCTAAGAGAGACATAGAGGAGGAGAGGGAGATACAATCAGACATGGACACTGTGCAGAGGTGCAGTACCAGTTCTTTTAGAGGGTTTACAACAGATAATCTCAGTTTGATTCTCACTTTTTCATGTTGTTAAACCTTTATTTTGGCAGATTCCTTGTTTTGAAGTCTCTCTTCCATGTGGGCATGTGTGTTTTTAGGCTCCTGTCCCAGCTCAGAGACATGGAGGAGGCGTTTGATGGCTTCTTTGAGAAACATCACCTGAAGCTGCAGCAGTACCTCCAGCTGCTGCACTACGAAATTAGTTTCCAGCAGGTGTGATGCTTGCCGTCTCTCTGCAAGTACTGACTCAAAATTACACTGTTGTGGTGAGTAACTGTGTGTTTGTGTGCAGATGGAGGAGGTGCTGGAGCGGCTCTCTGCCCAGGAGAAGGGTATTGCCTCTTTGGGAACCACAGTGGTTCAGACAGAACAGCTACTTAGAGACCTGGAGATGCTGGACAAACATGCCGAGGTCACAAACAGACACGTACAACAACATGCACATGACTGAAGTTTGGGATATAATTTGAAGAAAGCAGACGAAAATGTGTTAACAAAATGCTGCTTTGTGTTTAATGGATATTCTAACATTCATGATGGAGTAGTTTTAAATTAAAGGTATAAAAGCGCTAGAAACAGCAGAATATCACAATATCCCTCTTAGACCAACTGTTATACCACAATATTATATAAGATAGTTTAACTGCTTCACTCTTATCGTGTTACTGGCTCTCAAAACTAAAACCTGTAGGTCCTCTACAGCTTGTTGCTTCCTGGATTAAGACTTTGTCTTTAGTTTCTCCTCTTTTTACCTTTTGATCCTTGGCCTTAGTACTGATAAGGACCAACATGTTATTTGGGGGTTTTAACTTGATGATTCTACTCTGACCATCTGTTGTTGCGACTAACTTTTAAAACTGTAGGTCTGTTTGCAGTCAAGGACATCTTCCCCTCCAGATTTCATATTGTGTAGAAATTCTGATGGTTTAATGGGCAGTCTAGTGGCAAGCAGGCTCTTTAAAAGCAGTAATTTTTGCCATTATCTTTCAAAAATTCCACAACAACCTTTCAGTATATTGTTATTTAAATCGTCTGAAAGAAAACTACCAAACTACATTTCTGCACCTTCTCTTGCTTTCATACGCTGATTTTAGAAAATGTAACATGTGACAGAAGACTTTCAGTCTGGTTATTCTGGTTATTTTCTTGCACGATCAAATCAGTTAAAACACATTAAATCAAATTTGACATAAACCACAAGATCAAATGTGATAAAACATTGGGAAAACTCACTTTGGAAACAAGTATTTTATGTCTTGGTGTGAATCAGGAGGAGATGGCTCGTGCCCAGGTGGTGATCCTGCACGGCCACCAGTTGGCTGCCAACCACCACTACGCTCTGGCACTCATCATCCAGCGCTGCAACGAGCTGCGACATCTCTGTGATGTCATCACCACTGCCATTCGCACCAAGCGGGCCTCGCTCACTCGAACACGAGACCTGCTGCTCCGCCTCGAAGAGGTAAAGCACCTCAAGCACATTCTGAAAGACTTACATGCAAACAAAAACAAAAAAAGCATTGATGTTTATGTATTATTCTTTTAGTGACTGTTTACCCTGCGTATCTTCCTGCTTTACTTTTCCACCACTATGTTCCAGTAGTTATTTTTATTTGTACATCCAGTGTCACAAACCAGAAATAGAACTAAAGAGCTTTACAGTCTGTACAGCATGTAAAACTTTCTTTCCTTAAATACTCAATTCTGATTAGAAAGTGCTCAAAAGTATTCCAGTTGTAGAAGGTGACTAAGTACATTTACTCAAGTACTGTGCATATGTACAATTTTAAAGTACTTATACGTTACTTGAGTATCTCTATTTTGTGGCCTCTGACATCTTACACAGTGTTGTATTTCAGACGTCTATGAGTTGTTAACAGCTCCACCAGGTGGTGCTTTTTTCCCCCTCTAAACTTCTCACATGATTAAATCTCAATAAATGTTGAAATGATCCAGTAGCTCACAAAAAAATCAAAAATTACAGAAACAGATTTGTGCATCAGATTAAAAAAGAAAAAAAAAAGCCTTTTCTTCTTTCCTCCTCCATTAATCAACACACAACATCTCAGATTTATCTTATTTATGAAACTACATAAAAATAGTTCAGACTAACGCCACCTGCAGCAGCTAAAACAATAAGATGCTTCTGACAAACTGATGCTTCACTATTAATATTCTAATGTGGGCAGATATAATGATACATCCGTCAGATGGCCCAAACCAGGGCATTTACTTTAATCCTTTAACTACAGTTTGCTGTTGATACATAGGCTCTTTAGTAGGATTTTTCATGCAGGACTTTTAATTTGAATGGAGTATTTTTATACTCCTGAAATAGTAATTTTACTGAAGTAAAACACTCGGCAGTGGCTTGTTTTTAGGTTAAAATGCAAGGGTTTTTAGTTGCAATAGACACTAAACACAGGCGTTGCTTTGTCTGTGCATCAAGACAATTGTTTTTCTTTTGTTCATTATCTAACAGAAAATCTGTATTCTGTTTCTGAAAACATAAACTGACTCAGCACTTGTATATTTGTGTTCACTTCTGTTGTGTCTTTGCCCTTTGCGTGTTCAGGCCCTTCGGTGGTGTGACGAAGGCGCCTATCTGCTGGCGAGTCAGATGGTGGACAAGTTCCAAACCAGAGAAGGAGCTCAGGAGGCGCTGCAGTACCTGAGCTGCCACCAGGAGAGGGCGCCGTCCGCACTGAAAAACAGCCAGGACACCCTGAGCCTGGAGTTTGAAGCCATACTCACCCCACAGCTGCAGGTGGCCCACTGATACTGACACAAACACACAAATGACTCACAACCCCACCTGTGTTTACACTCCGTGCCTCTCTAGTCCCAGGTCTCCATGGTAACAGAGAAGCTGAACTCGATGCAGTCCATGATCAGGAACAGAGAGCAGTGTTTGAGGAAGCTGGCAGATATGCAGGTCCGACCCATACAGCTGGTGGCGCCTCGGCCAGAGCCGGACCAGACCTCAATGCGCTGCAAGTCACCCCTCTTCTCCCCCAAACATGGTACAGCTCCCTTCAGCAGCCCCCCTACTCACACACTGATCCTCTGCTTCAAGGACGTAAATCGGAAGCAGCTCCCAGTGCATCTTATTTAAGGCATCTATCACGAGACACTAGTAGCAGAAACCATGGGGAATTCTGGAGACTGGAGATTCTGTCCACTAGAAGGATGTTATTAGCAGTTATCTCTCACCTGCAGTCCCCCCTTATTGCATTTGACACTTCACAAATTACATGTAATAAGGATTACATAATTAGAATAAAAAAAAATAACAACAATAGTCAACCCAGATTGCATTTTAAAAAAATATAAACAACGTTATAGCTACAATGTCGAGGATTACTTGATTTTTCAAATATAGCAATTTTCATTATGTGACTAGAAAGAAGCCAGCTCTGCATGTATTTTACTGTCTTTTGCCAGTATTTCCTCTTTGCTCTGTCGTCACTATTTTTATTTGTGCATGATATTTCCGGCAGGTGTTGACTTTAATGTCTTAAACTCCAAGTTTTCTTTCGACCTGCTTCCTGGCAAGAGAGCCGCAAGGAGGAACAACAGCCAACGCAAGGTGTGTGTATGCATGTTTTTTTTTGTTTTTCTTTTTAACACTCATACGATAAAGAACTTTGGCCCAACTGTGTTTTCCTTAGAGACCTTTTTAAATATGTCTCATACATGTGAGAGTGTGTTTTCTTCTTGTCCTTCCACGTTTCCATCCAATCCTACAATCACTACATGTATCTAATTGCATTTTGTAGTTTACTGCTCACAGTAAAACGACCAACCTGTCAGGCTTGTTTGATGTATTTTGCCAGATCGAGGTGATGCATGATTACCAAGGCAACCGCAGCTGTCTGTATGGCTCCACAACTGAAACTGATTCAGAGGCCGAGGACAATCCAGAGCAGGTCACACGGTATGCAATCTTTCACCTGTCAGACCAGGTCCCTGACCTCAAACTTGACCTGTGACTCCAATCTGGCGCTGCTTGTGTTCAGTCTGCAGCTGCATGTGTGCAACAAATAGCTCAGTTCAATGATCATCAAGTACGTCGCTCTGGAGAAAAGTGTGTCCAAATGAATGTATCACGTTGTATATTTACTTCCCATGTACATTTCGTCTATTTATCTCTAATCTTCTCTCTTTCTAGCCATGTCATGAAGGAGCTGATAGCTACAGAGAGGATCTATGTGGACGAATTGCTCTCTGTCCTTCTGGTGAGTTTATCTTGGACTGTTTTAAGGGGATTATGCCATTTTCCAGATAGTTTACATTGCAGAGCAACAGCATGTTAAGACAGAGGGAACACACTGTGAGTTGTAATTTTGTGTTTCTTGTGTTTCACACTTGTTCTCCTCACCTCACCTCGCTTCATTTCCACACTCATCAGGGCTACAGGGCAGAAATGGAGGACCCCTCCGTTTCCAATCTTCTTCCTTCAGCCCTGCGGTGCCAGAAGGACGTTCTGTTCGGCAACATGCCAGAGATTTACCAGTTCCACAGCAGGCGAGCCATGCACACATACTGAGCTCACAAGCTGTCCCTGAGTTGTCCTGTCGTCTTTTCATGCTAATCCAATTTCTTTTCATTTTCTTCTTGGATTCTTCATTCAGGATCTTTCTCCAAGATCTGCAGGGTTGCCTGGAGACACCAGAGAGGGTGGGGGCCTGCTTCCTGCAACGGGTGAGGAAGCATCATGAGAAACACAAGGAGGACTTTATGTGGGGTGATACAACATTACGTATTTAACTGTCCATTTGTGTATGTGTGCGAGCAGAAGGAGAAGTTCCAGGTGTATGAACGTTACTGCCAAAACAAGCCTCGCTCTGAGTTGCTATGGAGACAGTGCGCTGATTCGCCCTTCTTTCAGGTAGTTGCATATATTTAACAGGATGCACTTCTCGTCTCATTTTGTATTTATGGTATGTTATCAGAATCATGTATTATTTTCCAGTTTTGCCTTGTGCGTTTCAGTCTGCATAATTAAAAAAAATAATAAAAAAATTTAATCTCTCTGTCCCTCTGCAGGAGTGCCAGAAGAAGCTGGACCACAAGTTGGGTCTGGACTCATACCTGCTGAAACCAGTCCAGCGCCTCACCAAGTACCAGCTATTACTCAAGGTGTTGTACATTTGAGCCAATGTAATGATGGAGAGTCCTCCAGAAATATGGGTCACATGAAAACATGAATAAAGAAAAAGGCTTTGTTTTTTGTCTCCATCATAAAGGCAGCTGAGATTAAATATTCATCATTTCAGGAAATACATATGCACATACAGTGTATATTACAGTATATATTTGCAAGTTGATTCATAGGAAAACACAAAGGCCAAAAAACAAGAACATTTTGCTGCATCGATGCAAAGTGTGTGAGACATTGAGAGGTTTTTGTGAAGCATACTGCTACAAAATGCTTCAGAGATGTGCATCTTTGCCACAAAAATCACTTGCATGTTAGTCAATTCTATATACAGATAGTGCAAATCGTATCAGTTTAGTGGCACAAAAAAGGGATTTTTTTTTAACAAAATGGCTGCTAAATTTACCACATATTACATTGCATGATAAACTCACTGAACTCCTCTTGACTAAAGGTACTCAGGATAAAGTATGTTTCATGAGTGAGTATTTGAGTTGAACTTTGGACTGAAGCACAGAAAGTGAGAATATAATATTATACTTACTCGCTGTTCGTGGCCTGACCTCTGCCAGTGGCTCTGCTTTTGTATGGAATCTGATTATTATAACAGTAGATATAAGTCATCTGCAGAGTTCCGCCTGTATAGTAATTGATTTAGTTTGAAAAGGAAATATATTGACAGCGAGATGAGACAAACAGCCAAGGCAGTTATTACATTAGAAAAGCATAAACACTGAGAAGCAGACAAATAAGGAGACTTGTGTGGACACGTGAATCATTTTAAATGGGCACAGAGACAAATTGACAATAACAGGTAGATTCCATTTATCTAATTTACAGAGCTGCAGACAGGCAGTGATTTAAATTTACACGCAGACATGTGGACATCGAGGCAGACTGGATTAGATAAAGTTACAGCCACTGACATGTCATCCTTTGTGTCTGTCCTTGCTCAGGAGCTTTTGAAGCACTGTGTGGAGGAACATTACCGCTGTGAGCTCCGGGAGGCTCTGGACTCCATGTTGGAGCTGCTGAAGTCTGTCAACGACTCAATGCATCAGATAGCCATCACAGGATATCAGGTACCAGCTCAAATCAACAAATAAGCAGACAATCACATCACTGGATGCCAGATTTTTGACATTATCTTATTATAGCGAGTGTTTCCTACTAATCTCAATTAAATATAGTGTGTTGAATGCTGCTGCTGATTTGAGTATGTTAATTATACAGGAGTATAAAGTGATAATGTTCTCAGTTTGCAGGTTGTTGGCTGGTGGGGATGGTTCATGGGTTCATGTGGGGTTCTGTCTTGTGATCCGTCCGTCCGTCTGTCTCAGGGTGATCTCGGCCAGCTGGGCCGTGTGGTGATGCAGGGGGGCTTCAGCGTGTGGATAAGCCATAAAAGAGCAGCAGTGCGGATGAAGGAGCTGGCCAGATTCAAACCCATGCAGAGACATCTCTTTCTCTACGAGCACGCGCTGCTCTTCTGCAAGCGCAGGGACGAGGACAACCATGACCGGACGCCGTTCTACAGCTTCAAATCCTGCCTCAGAGTAACAATACATTATTTATCCCTGTTATCAGGCACCCCAAGCTGCATCCAATTCAGCCACTACACAATCAATTCTCCCATCATGAAGCTTAGAATAAGGACTTTTGGAGGCTGCAGCTTTGGGTATCACTGAGTTGTGGTGCCTATTATTTGTGCATGTAACCTTTGGTTGCAGTTTATAATGAAAATGACAATACAGACTTAATAATCATGGCAGGTTACAGTGAAATGGGATGACTTCTCTCACTTTCTATAGATGACTGCAGTGGGAATCACAGAAACTGTGAAAGGAGATGTGAAGAAATTTGAAATCTGGTACAGCGGCAGGGAAGTGGTGTACATAGTTCAGGTATTTAATCTTTTCTATTATATGTGTAGTTGACCAGACTTTCAGTGTGTTATAATCTGTTCTGTACTTATGTGTGTGTGTTTTTCTGTCAAGGCTCCTACAGTGGAGGTCAAAGTCGCCTGGCTGACGGAGATTCGAAAAATTCTCACCAACCAGCAGAGACTACGTCAAGGTTTCTATCACTGCTGTGGTTCACACTTGGGACCTCTCTGTTTCCTGTTTTTCTTTAAAATGTCTGATTTCATTTTGTCCAACTTGGATTCAGCTCCGATTTGAAAGAGGTAATACAGAGCTGTAGATCTGTAACTACTTTCAGTGTAAGCTTAACCTCTTCACTGTATATATTTTCCAGCAGAGCAGTCTTTTCTGATTTCCCAAAGTCTTTGTATAAAATGCATAGACCGTATATAAAAGATGGATGTAGCCTCCAGGTCTGAAAAGTGCAAATGGCTTAAGCCTGCATTCTTTTGAACAGCCAGGAACGGGGCGACTCCTCTGGTTGTAAAAAGAAGTATAATTGTATAGAAGTCTATTCGAAAATGACTCTATTTCTCACTTTATTTTCTACCTAAGTAAGTATTTTCCATTTGAGTTTATAGTCTCATTAGCTAGTTTCAAGTCTTGTTCAACACTAAATGGTGTTCAATTAATAATTTATAGTCCTATTTAGGGTAAAACAGACAATAAAGCATGATGTGCTTAAGTTCGGTTTCAAAAAATTCAGTTGAGTTCGCTGAATTCCAAACTCAAGGCTTCAAAATGGGCGACATCAAAGTGGCTACATTTATATTTTACACTGAACAAAAATATAAACGCCCCATGTCAAATATAAGAGTTTTATGAACATTTGGGTTACGCAATATATAGAGAAACTCAAAATATATTTTTAGTAATTACTGATCTTCATATCCGCATTGATAACATCATGGTATGGCCATTTGTAGCGGATTGACAGTCCTTTGAACATGATAGGGGTCAGGTTGAGGAATCTGATTTTTCAGTATCTTGTGTGTCCGTCAGCTGCGTCTCTCAGAGCAACACATCTTCTTCGCATGGAGTTGATCAGATTGTCTATGGTGGCCTGTGGAATGTTATTCCATTCCTCCTGGAGTGCCACACAGAGCTGACCCACATTGCCTGGAACTGGAACACGGTCCACGCCTATCCAGAACATCCCAAAGATGCTCTATTAGGGACATGTCTGGCAAATATGCAGGCCGGTCCAAAACTTCAGTGTCCTCTGTTTGAAGGAATTCCATGCAGATGAGGGCAACATGAGGTCAGGCATTGTCATGTTGAAAGGTGATGTCATGCTGGCGCACAAACGGCACAACAATTGGGGTGAGAATCTCGTCCCAATATCTTTGTGCATTCAGGTTCCCTTCAATGAAGTGCAATGGTGTTCTATGCCCGTATGTGATGCCTGACCACACCATAATGCCACCACCTCCATGGGCAACCCTGGGCAAAACATTTGCATCTGCAAACCGTTCACCCACGCGTCACCAGACACACTGTCTTCCATCTGCACGATACAACTGGAACCTGGATTCATCCGTGAACATCACTCTTCTCCAGCGTGCCAAGGGCCATCGGACGTGTGCATTCGCCCATGCGAGTCGGTTCCTACGCCGGACAGCAGTGAGATCCAGACCACGGTGAGGGCGCCGAGCATGCAAGTTGGCTTCTCGTAGATGGTTACGGATAGTCTGAGGTGTGATGCGTCTGTTGTGCAGACCAATAGTCTCATCAGCTGTGTGTGTCGCTGGTCTTAGCCGATCCTGCAGATGGACGAGCCGGATGTGGCGATCTTGTGCTGGAGTGGTCACACGTGGCCGACGAGGATGAGGTCGATTTGCAGTCATGCCAGTCTGTTGGAAACAAACTCTTAATCGGCCTATGGTCCGATAATGGACACTGAGTCGTGCAGCTACTGCTCTGGTGGACATTCCTGCATCCAACATGCCAATAGCACGCTCCCGCATAACTTGCGACATCTGAGGCATTATGACTTGTGACAAAATCTGACATTTTGGGGTGGCCTTTTATTGTCCCCAGTCCAAGGATTGTCCAGCTGTTGCTCATTTTGTCTGATCACCCACTGGACATGCCCTACCCATGCACTGAGTAAAAAAACAACTCACTGAGTAATGCTCACTGACAGCAAGTTGGATTTAAAATTATACACAAATCAAGAGAAATATGGCTTTTGTACAATAAAATGTCAGCAAATGCTCATTTACAGTTGTTAACTCCACATGGCAACAATATTTGACATGGGGCGTTTATATTTTTGTTCAGTGTATATACAGTTGTTTGGAAAAAGTTGCTTGCATACTTCCATTCCCTCAAATTTAACCCATGCCTCTATGTCATCACCTTTTCTCAGATGAGGCTCCTTCTCTTCCACTTTCAGACAACCCTCTCTCTGACAGGTGATTCTCTCTGCATGATTTCCTTTCATCTAAGGGCACAAAAAACCAAACGTTTACATCAGAACTGTTTCTTGTGTATAATTTTAAGACGATCCACAAATGCTAATTAATTTTTTTTTCTCAAGTAGCGTGGTCTTCATAGTTTGCTTGTTTCAAACGTCTAACGCTGCTAAGTTAACGATGGCTTTCCTACTGTTAGCGTTACATCAGTACCTTTTGTGCAGTGAGAATGGGTCTTCTTACCTTAAATCTTTCAATTCACATTTGAATTCTTTATATGAGAATGATGGTTCATCTTCTGAAATAATTTGTCCATCAGTTGACACCTCAGTTACGCCCACATGCCAGCAGATCTTGTTATTTTTGTTATATTTAACAAATCATCACAATTGTCTCTTCACAGGATATTGAAATGAGTGTGCATGTGTCTGCGTATGTATTAGCATCTTCGTCATTACCCTTGAGAACTGGCATTCATGGGTGACTTACCAAATCCTGCAGATGGCACAACATTGTCCTTGGCGCTGAAATTTCAAGCTGCTGAGTTTCAGCACCATGGAGGGTGTCATGCATTGATTTTAGACCCAAACTTCTGTAACAGTTTTTCCTGCTGGTTTATAATTCCATGCAATAGCTACATACATTCATCTTCCCAGTGTAACAGTCAGCGATTTGGTTGCTTAAAGTCATATTGACCACGATTGAGAGCTGTTGCATCAACACTGTGTCAAACTGCTTGAACAGTCCCTAAGCTTGTTGGACAATTGTGTTAATGATCCTGGGGAGCATCGCAGTGAGCTGATCGTACATGTTTCTTTAGAGATTTTCTTATACCTTACAGTTGTTGCTCTGTTGCTTGTTAAGTCATTGGAGGTACTAGTTCTCCAGGATGGTGTCAATGGTAGAGTGTGACAGGGTGTTGGTGTTTGCGTGTTTGTGGAGTTGTTGTAGGAGATGACAGTGGTCTGTTTACTGGTAGCATGTGAGCATGTTGTGAATTTGATTAATCAATGAGTCTTGTGAGCATCACGATACCTAACTTGCTGTCGATTCACTATGCAGGGAACACACGGGTGCTTTTTCTTTTTATCAACAGATTCCATGAAAAGATCAAAACCAACAATGTTTCGATGGCTAAAGCCCGATGTATTGATTATTGATCTGTGGAACGGACCTCCATTGTCCGAAACACATCAGTGAGCCACGCAGTTGCAAAAATCTTTCATTACCATTGTCATACAGGCACTAAATGTCCGAAAATAGTCCCCAACAAATGCTATTATAGATTGGCTTGAAACGTTAGTGTGCAACTGTTAGGAAGTAACAGAGCAGTGTCGAAAAATTCAACTGTTTGTCAGTGAACTATTGATAGAAGTTCCCACACAGCCTGCTATTGGCATCAGTGCCCTAACACATTTGAACTTTTTCTATGGCACTTATCTAGATTGTTTTCTCCTGACTAGATCCTTGCTTGTGTTGTATCTGCCCTCAGATGTACGTCGCTTTGGATAAAAGCGTCTGTTAAATGAAACTGTTGAATTGTAGAATTGTAAAGATCTTCAGTAAGAACCAGCGAATTTGGAAATGACAAAGTATTGAGAGATTAACTTACAATGTTGGTTTGAATCTTAACATGGGATTTGTTGACAATAGTAAATAATATCAACCTTTTCTTTACAGTAAATACATTCATACAGACTCACAATTCAGTTTTCAGAGTATGTGATCATGAGTTAACCATGATCGGCTTGTGGGACTTTTTTAATCTTACTAATGATTGCCTCTTCTTGAATGGTTTGTGGACATAATATTGTGTAGGTCACATAGTATTTGTTAGTAATTAAAGTGTTTCTGCTTTATGTAGTAGATGGGTAGGCTTCAGCACAATCAGACTTCTCCCATGATTGCCATCATTTTCTATTTCATCGGACTAAATAGGACAAACTCCACCCATCTACTACCTAAAACAGGTTTAACTACACTGTAGATTATTTTCAAATGCTCTTTAATCATGTCCTGGTATGTGTGTGTGGAATATTTTTTAAACAACATGATGTTTTCATATATTGCAGCGATCTCTGATGCAAATGATTCGCGTTACAACCTCAAACGTGCTTTGGAAATGAGACGCTGAAATATATGCGACCGTGAACTGAAGGGAATGCTGTATTATTTTACAGAATGTGGATGAGGTATGAGCTCGTTTTTGTGACACTGTGGATGTTGTTGTTGTTGTTGTTGTTCGTTTTTTTTTTTTGTTTGTTTTGCTCGTGTCTTGTTCCCATGGTGATGCGGTTTAGTGCATCAGAGATGTGTGTGTCGTGGGGCGGAGCGTCGGTGGGAGGCTGCTCAGCGTGTCTCCCTGTTCCTCACAGCTCCTCGACAACAAGCCACTCCCACAGGATGAAAGGGGAGGAGTCACTGTACACTAGCCCCGCCCACTCAGACCCTGTGGTTCATTCACCACGGCGCAGTGAGTTGTTGAGCCAAATTCAAAGTGGAACACACAGTCACGAATACACACTCTTTTTTTATTTTCTGAGATTTCATGAAAGATTTACTGGTTACAGGACTTAAAATTCTTCAGCAGTGTACTAGAATCTGGCTACAGTTGAGGATGGTCCCTTTATTTGAAGAGTTTACAGACTTTTTTTGTGGTAACAGTGTCCCAGCTCATGTCAGTCTCATTTATTTGTCTTTTTACTTTACTTAAATTCAAAAATATCTAATCCTGAGTCCACAGAAGACATTGTTGTGTTTTTTTGTTTTAACTGATCGCCAAGAAAGCCATATTGGATATTCTTTGTGCTGTGTATTCTTTATTCTTTTGCTTGGACTTGGATACAATTGCCTGACTGCACTTTTTCCTGTCGTTTAGACTTTTAAAGTTAACATGAGGATTCGCGTTTAGAGATGATTAGATTTGGTGTTCTTGTCTGTCTGGAACAGGCTGCGAAATGCCCCCCAGCTATCATCAATCTGAATTGTAGCCTGCAACTTGCTAGGCTATTTTTAATACCAGAGTATCTTCCATTCATGTTTCCTTCTCTACAGTCTTTCTCCAAATCCCCAAACATATTACAAGAACAGGAATTTTCTTGCCCTGTGTATAACATATTCCTGAAAAACTGCTACTTTTTGCTGTTATAAACACTCGGTTTTTGATTGGGCTCGACCAGATCTTAAGTGATGTGTTTTAACTTTTAACTTCAACTTTAGATTGTCCTCAGGGGGAAATATGTCTGGCACCTAGGTGAAAATATAAACCTCCCACAGAGGTAAACCTAAGATACACAAACATAGTAACAAATGAAAATGTATGTAAAAAACAAGTGTGAAACCCTACATCATAGACTATACAGGAAAGGTAATGACAGACAGTAGCTTGTTAAAAAGAATTTGGTATCTTTTACAGCATATAGACATAGATCTTCAGTGAAAAGTGTACCATGTTAGTTGTCTTTCATCTCAGCTGTCTGTCGCCTGCAGGTTGGCCTGTTCCTGCTCACTCAGTGGCGATCTGTGAAGGCCTGGAGGACTGGGGCGCTACAGACCTCTCCACCTTATCAGACTCAGATGACGAGGATCAGCCTGCTCCACTGGTGAGATTTTGTTACTGTCACATGTAATATTGGACTTTTTTTTTTTTTTTTTTGCTGTGTCAAGGAAAATCCATGACCACCAGGTCTTGCAACTCTACCAGCTACTAACTGACTGCAACAACTCACCTCCTGATGTGTCGCCTCACCAATCGGGCTTTAGAGTTCTCATGAATTACCAGTTGTACACCAATAACTGTCAGTTCACTAGACAGAAACCCAAATACATCTAGAATAAGGGCTATTTATCACTTTCCATTGTGTTTTCAACAATAAGTTCCTTACTGTTCCAATACATGCCAACTTTCTTGTGATTTTTATTTCCGTCCTCCTTAATTATTCTCCTCCTTTTGCAGCCTCCTGCTAGATAATTCCCACCTCCTGACATTTGTCAGCCAGTCAATAGTACTAAAGACCAACATGTGACTGTGACAAAGCATTTATCACAGGATTTTTGTTGCAGTACTGTGTCATGACCAATATCTTAAGGGGGTTTTACCTAATCCTAAGGTCAATTCAGTTCAGTTCATTTTAAACCATATAGTGCCTATTCAACATGAGTCAACTCAGGACATTTCACATATTAAAGTCATGACTTTACAATATTATATGACAGAGGAAATTCCCAAAAAAATCAGTGATTCCCTTTGAGCAAGCACTTGGAAGTGGTGGAAAGAAAAAAACTCCCTTTAGGGGAAAGAAAGCTCCAGGAGAACCAGGCTCAAGGAAGACAGCTGTCTGTCTTGACCGGTTGAGATGAGGGGAAAGGGAAAAAAAAAAAGGATATTGAAGACAAATAATTCACAAGAGGACTATAAACACAGGGGAGGGGGTACTAGTATAATTGGTAAAAAAGAAAAATACCAGTCAACAGTGGGAATTGTATCTGAATCTGTTGGGAGACATAGATTTAGGATTGTTGTGCAAATGGAAGTGTTGAAATGCACAGTTTTAATGATGTTTCTTCTGTTCAGGTGGCCGGCAGGTACAGAGTCATGGTGGAGAGCAGCATGGCCAGCACTGACGACATCATCTTCAACTGTGGTGATGTCATCCAGCTTCTGCATGAGGAATCGTCAGGAATGTGGTAACTTAGACCACATATTTCAGAAATAGTGATTACACCCAATTTAAATTCAAATATAAACAAGTGTGAAAATGAGAATATTAAGTGAAGATATCTTAAAGACTCTTTGTGCATCTGTTTTGTATTTTGTGTGATTACAGGATGGTGAGGAATATAAGTCGTGGCGAAGAAGGCCGCGTCCTACCCGAAGACCTGCACAGGATTCTGGGAGAAACCTGCTGAGAACCAATCAGAACGGACGATAGATGACACAGTGTTCATGATGTGTGTCTCGTCTTCTCCTGTGTTTGTCGCTTATTTGACTCACTTTATGCCTCAATACCTTCCACACACAGACTCATATATTCCATCAGCTTCCGGACCAACCCAAGGCAAGCATCAGACTTCACCGAGACGTTCATCAGTCAGTCTGAAGCACAACATCAGCCACATATGGGACTTTGCTCTTCAAACTACTGTGACAGTTTCACTTCAAAAGGCTGTAAACTACAGAATGGACCTCAGAAGACTCTTAACAGAAAGCACATACAAGCCATCGTCTGATCTGTCTTTTTTTGGCAGTAATACAGTAAATCAGTTGGACTGAAGATGTTGAAAAGGGGCTTTTATTTCATACCTACAGAGTGGACTTTTTGTTTAAGACTGGAAGTTGTATGATTTCTATTTTCTTATGAGATATCACAGAGATCATTGGTATGCCTGTTAACATATCATTACTGTTCATGTGCCAAACAGCTAAGCTAACCATTGCAGCAGCAGCTTCTTCTTGTGTAAATCCAATATGTTATCGTAAATAGCTTTAACGTGTGGTGTCATTGTTTCGAATTTAGCTAAACTTGCCTTTTGCTACAGCAGCCAGCTACATCGCTAGAGGATATGTACTTGAGGTATGCAGAAATTGCCACCTCTTTGTGGCAAAAGTGAACCATCATTATCTGTGAATCACAGTTTCATGATACACAAAAGGCAAAGAGAAGAAAAGCAATGACAACTTGGAAATATGGCTTTGAGTATTGCAATTCATAGTAACTGCAGTGAGTTGATTTTGCTCAGAGGTGATTGCGAGGGTGGTAGTGGGTTAAAAAAAAAAAAATCATTACATACCCTCTTTAGGTTTTTTTTTTTTATAGCTGGCATTTCGACATGTCACAGCAGGAATGCTACAGGAGTAATTGCATTATTGTGCATTAAAGGCAGCCAGTGGAGTTTTTGACTGTTAGTAACCCTGTGGAGTAGTTTTTCCTTGTAGGTCCCCATTTAGTTGTCTCTTGCACATGTGCAATACACAGTCCTGCCAATGGGTTTACACTACTCTGTAGACCTATATGTGGATATGAGCAGTGTGCCAAGAAAATCAGGAAACAAGACTTTGCTTGTAATCATGGACATAAACAATGCTGTGCGTTCACAAACGCTCTATGATGAATGTTTGATTGACCTTCAGGATACATATGATGTATTTTGTGAGCAACACTTGAATGTAAACACAACTTTCATTTGTTTACAAGAAATTCCCCTCAGGGCACTTTCAATGACCAAATTTTATTCTGTTAAGCCAAAATTTTACATCCCAGGTATTGTGCGTTGAGACATGCTGGACTTTAGCATAAAAGAGCCAGTTTTGATGGTGTAAGCTGCTTCTCCTGCTATGACAAGTCAAAATGTTTTCTGTATAAAGCTGTGGTAAGGATCGTTCCTACAGTGTTGGTCAGTTCCTCCAGATGAACTGTGTGAGTTTGCTGAAACCTACGCTGGCTGTTGTAGCTTCTTGTTGTAGCTCACTTGTTATTTAACTTCAAAAGTGATTTCATTTCTGTTACAGTTGCTGCTATTTATGGTGATAACGTGTTGTTCTTGTTGAGCTTTGATTGATGGATGAAAATTCTGTGACTTTGTCCATCAAACAAATCTTTGTCCTCCCCTGCTGCACCTGCAGTTAGCACTATTATTAACGTGACGAGATAAGGTTTATTTTGGTTTGTTTGCCGCTCTGCATGGACAGATCTCTGCACACGTCTAACGCTTTATTTCTGCCTGCGTTGCTATTTTTGCACCAACAGGGTAACTATGCTCAGTGTTGGGTTATAGTGCTAAGTAGAGTAATGTAGAGTTGCTATTGCCAACTGATCAGTTACAGTTACATTGTGGATTACTTCATTAGTTGTTAATACAAAATTCGGGAGAGTTGAATTGAATCACAAGAGAAAATTTACATTTGTTTCAAACTGCCTTGTGTTAAAACTGCCCGGTTGGACTTTCCCTGCACTGTAAGAAGGAGCCTGTTGTGAAGCTTTCAAACTATGTGTGAAAAGTGGTCATGACAACACTGCCACTTCGCCGCCAAATGAGCTGAGGGTTCATCTCTAAAAGGGCAGACAGACACAGTGTAATTGCTAAATATGAAGACAACTACTGTAAACTGTGAATATGTAAATGGTAAAAATCCTAATTTTAGATGTTAAACACAATTTTAGTCAGTAGCCGTCTAAATGGTAACACTTCTTTGGTCAGTCAGACGACGATACTCAGCTATCATGTGTCAAGTTTAATGTAGATTCTTCAAGTATTTGTTGTATCTCTGGAGTATTTGAATCTAATCATCCAAGATTAACGCTCAATGAAGAACAATTTTCACAGTAATAAACACCCACAGTGGGAACATTAATGTCACTTGATAGTGCAGGACTATCTAAATGAAGTGTGTCCATTGATATTTAACAGCAAGTAATATTGCATCACATTAAACTGATTTGAAATCCACCCAACACTGGCTGAACATCAGAAACTAGAAATGGATTCATTCAGTCAGGCTTCAGTGTCTTTCTCACAGTACCTTAAACTGGTGTTCGCTGCTTTCGCTCATTTTGCACTTTTTTGATATTTTGAATCATAGTGAACGCTTGTATTATAATGCAAAATGTATATGATTATTTTCCGAAATATAAGCACATGACTGTTGGATTTGACTTAAAGTGACTGATGTGGTTTTTTTTTTCTCTTAAGATGGTTTACATCTATGCAGGTTTACCGAGCTTCTTAAAGCTTCATATGCAGGCGTTTTCAGTTATTTTTTTCTTTATTGGCATCTACAGTCTTTGCATGACTAACCTATCACAGCTGTTAGTGTTGCTGCACTTGCTAAGGTAAGAAGGTTTACACTTTTGTCACTGGTAAAAACACAATTCACTACCAATTGATTTCAAAGATAAAGGCTATACTTGCAATTTGTGCCTTAAGATGAATCAGATGGGCTTGTTTTGCACCAGAGATTTTGGCAGAGCATAGAAGGAAAAGTGTCATTAATCTGCTTTTAGATCTTTGCTTTTCCTGATATGACAAATCAAAATGTCTGTTATGAGAAAGACATCAGTAATTTATTTTTGTGCAATCATGGACCTGAACATTTGACTGAATGATTATTTATTTATTTATTTATTTTACTGTGTTTTCCTGTTTATACAATTGACTGGTGAAATTATACAAGGAGCAGAACAGGAGGGATGCTGCGTGGTTGCAATGAGTGCATCATCAGAGGAAAACAAACCTAATCTAGTTAGGATTACAGTAGATGAAATGTTTGTCATATTCCACCAGAGACATGCCAATACTATGATATTTTGAATACATTTTATTGCAGAAATGGAAATTAAAATGTGCAGTTTCTCACGTGATTCAGCTGAGGAAACATTTTCTCTTCCTCAGTGGCTAAGCTCAGCTGTTACTGTGTGTTTTGTTGACAGCTTCATGTGTCAGTTGGTCATTCGGAGCCCTGTTTTCTGACTGATCCATGTGTAGTACCGTGACACTCGTGTATAGATGCCGTACTTCCCGTCCTTGGCGCACTCCTCCCCCCAGCTGACGATGCCTGTCAGGAACCAAGTGCCTTTGTAATTGGTGGCGTGCGGCCCGCCGCTGTCGCCTTGGCAGGAATCCTTTTGCTCACTTGAAAAGCCTGCACAGAACATATTGCGCGTGATGTGGTCACGGCTGCTCTGCTTGCACAGGGTCCGGTCCACGTAGGGGACCTCCAGCTTCTGGAGCTTGGTGGCCTCGAGGCCTTGGAACTTCAGCCGTCCCCAGCCGCTCACCAGGGAGGTGCTGGAGTCCCTCAGGAGGCTCTGTATGAAGTCTTTGGGGCCCAGGCAGATGGGACGCCGCTGGTTGGACAGTTCCACCGGTTTGGCGAGCTTTAGCAGTGCAATGTCGTGGTTATACTGTGACTTGCTGAAATCATACAAAGGGTGCAAATGCTGCTCTGCCACCACATGGTCTCGCTCTGGACCCTCATGCTCTGTTACATCATGTTCACCTGGAAACAAAGATTAAGTTTTATATATCAACATAGTATAACAAAAATATATCGTTCCTGCACCAGGTAATGCGTGTGATGGGTGTAGTGTCTTCCTAATTAATATCCTAAAAAGTATCAAATACATCCAACAGAGCACTTTACTGACATTAATTGTAATAATTAAGACCATGCTATCTGCACTTGAGCGATACAGATAAAAGATTTAGTACTAAAGAATGCAGGTAGCATTTCTTTTCTCCTACCTACTCTGACGATAAAACCTTTACTAGCCACATCAGCCTGGACCAGACAGTGGGCTGCAGTGATGACCCAAAATTCAGTGAGCAGAGATCCTCCACAGAACGGCTGAGCTCTCTGAAGGACGGCCGAGTGAGACATAAGGGTCACCTACAAACACAAACAGGAACACAAATACTTTAAAACGCACAAAAATGGCAACACAAACACAGTTACCCAAAGAAATGTGGCAGAACCCATTGTTTCTTGCACTCCTTTTCCACATGTGGATACTCCCATTTTCTCCCTCACTCGTCTCGATACTCCTTGCTTGGGTATTTATTTCTGTTGTCTCCACTGCCTAGTAAAAGGGATTTCCAGCAGTTTACCGCCTCTCACATTTTAACAAAGAATGGTCAAAATTGGAGCAACAAATGTAGAATTTGTACGTTTCAAGCTCCACACTCCATCCAGAATCTTACATTTCTAATGTAACTCAGTAGCATCTTTCAGTGGGTCTGAAGTGCTGTTGTTCAGTGGTGTCCATGATCAGACATCAGTCTTAACAAGCTCATATCTGCAAGGAAACAAGACCATAGAAATCCTAAAGCGAAAATTCAGCAGGCCATAAACAACGCCGAGGGCTTTAATTTCTTGCAAATATTAATAATTTGAAGTTGTGCAGTCTACCTACTTTCTACTTTCTATGTATCAGAGACTCTGTCAACAGAAGACAAATGCATGTGTCTTTCTTTAATTCTTTTTTTTTTACTCCATCTCCTCGGCTACTTTCTTGCCTCAGTGGCCTGGAAATATTGTGGAGAGAGATTGGTAGGTTTATGTTTGTGGACATGCACTGCTGAAATTCTTGTGAAGAAAACCCCATTTTCTACAAGAAGATGCCCCTAAAAGTTCAACCACCCGATACTCTCCAGTTTGTCAGTGTGATCAGTTTCCCTCTATCTCCTCATCATTCCTTCATTCTGCATCCAATACCTGCCAGGGTATCTCCCCAGGAATGGCTGTATCGCCTCCCACAATCCTCTGATCAAGGTTGTCTTTAGCTACGATGGTGGGCGTTGTGGGGAAAGCCCAGGAGAGCTTCTTCGGCTTCTCTGTGGGGGATTCAGTGACGCTTCTCGCCTTCCTTACAGAGGCGTCTGCGTCCGACGTCACTGAATGTACGTCTGGTGCAGAGGTCTGAGAGATGTTTAATACATCTGAATGATTCATGGAGGGGTCGAGGTAATCATAAATCAGTGATATATCTTCATCATAGTAGTCATCCGGGAGGGTATCGTTGGAATTGCGTTTGGTTTCAGAGGAGCGTAACGTGTTTGATGATCGGGGGCTTAGGAAGGTCCTGGTGCTGGCGCTGGAGGTCACGCGACCGCAGCTGAACTCCACTGAGGGGAAATAAAGGAGAAAAAAAAAGAAAAGAGAGATGTTCAAGGTTTGTCTCTTAGACATCATTTTAAAATATGACAGTGTTTGTATAGCTGGAACTGTGTTACTTGAAAACAGTCTAGTAATGTTCATGTGCCAAGATGCACACCGGGAAGTAAATATTTTAATATTTTAAGAACATAGAGATGGAAAGGTTGAAATTTTAATATGACTAATGCATTCTTATGAACCCCATAGGTCTCCAACTGACTCATTTATTTAGATATATAGAAAATAAGTAGGTTTTAGGTTTTCTATGTTTAAGCGGTTACAGATTCATTTGGTCACTTTAGATCTACACAATGCTTTTTTGTGATTAAGGTTGGTGCAACCTGGGGTCACCTGAATCTCATTAAACTTGAACAGCAGTTTGAGTATCACTTGCATGTAGGCTGGTTTTCAAATTGGGTCCCGGTGTGTTGAATCTGTCAGCAGAAATCATTAATTATGTACTTTACTTGACAGCTATGAACTGCAACACAGAGAGCGCACGAGCCAGTCTGTGATGCCTTAAAGGATACCAATGGGATGGATTAGAGATGTAACAGGAGGAGTCCAGATGTCTGTTGTATTGCTGGTCAAGAGACAGCTTTTATCATTCCTGGAGGAATGGCTAATTTTTTTTCTCAAGTCTGTCTGAAAAATGCTCACATGCTCATATGTGCAGTGAAACCTGCTGTTCATAGCAGCCATAGAGAGACCATCTCCTAATGCTTTTCCAATGTAACTAATGGGGGAGAAAATCCACGGTCCTTTTTCTGTGTAAAATATATTTGCGTTTATTTGAAGCCAAGCTTGAGATTTGACTTAGACAAACCAAAAGCAAGAATATATCAACCAAAGCTCATCTTTTTAGTACAAAATCGCTCTTTTTGTTCCATACTGAGCTGCAGCGAAGGTGTGATAACATAAAGAAAGGCATTTGTATTTGTAACAGAGAAGGAAGATCCTCCCTTGATTTCACTTAACTCAGGCTGCTATGGTCTAATGTTAGTTTTAAATAAACCATGGAAAGCATTTTTTGGCTGGATGAGGAGTGTAGATGTTGTCCTGCATCACTAACATCAGCAGTGTGTTAGAAGGGATAACTTTAGGGCTTGTTTTTTGTTTTAGAACAGAGAAAAAAATCCTATTTCAAAGTTCTGATTTGTGACTATCTTAATAGTAGCTGAAACCAAAACTTAATTTGGAAATCTACAGCCAGTCATCAGGGTCTGAAAAAGGCGATCAAAAGACAGTAATTTATATTTGAAGGTTTGTGCAATTGGGATCTAATGTGAAGCATTATCCCCATGTGTGCAGGTGTGCCGTAATTGTTGTGATGCTTTTTTGTGTCCTGAAATTTAAAATATTACAGAAAAGACCTGAACAACCACTTTGCTGGATGGCGTGCAGGGTTTGCCATTTCATTTTACCTGTTGGTTCACAGCTCTTCTTGTCTGGTCCAAGCCTGTAACCGGCTGCACACTTGCACACAGCTCGGTCTGCCTGCATCGTACAGAAGTGGAAACATCCACCGTTGTTGACTGAACACTGCTTGGTCACTTCTGAAAAAAAACAGCAGAAAAACAGAATGAATCTCTTTCGTGTGTTGTCACCTTAGTGCCCAGATGCATGTTAGCAAAAAGTGTGTTGCACTCACCGATCTCACAGTTCTTGCCTCTGAAGTTTGGTTTGCACCAGCAGACATAAGAGCTGACTCCATCCTGGCACTGACCTCCATTCTGGCAGGGTGGTGGGTCACACTGGTCACCATCTGCAAGCAAGCGTAAAGCATGTACACAACTCAGGTTAGGAGGTGATTGTCTGTTTTACATTTTGAGTCAACATGAGAATTGGTCTCTCATTTGTCTTACCAACGTAGCCGGCCCAGAATTCCATCTAATAGAGAAACATTAAAGACAAACCTCAGAGTTTTGCCTTCATACACACTTTATTCAAGCAGGATAATGGACTCTTTGTGTGCATGCAACTTACAGTTTTCTCATCGTTCTCAAACACCTCCCTGGCCTCCTCAAACGAGCAGGTTTCCTCTCTGCACTCCCTCTCCAGGTTGTCTTTGTGAAGAACTTCTTCAAGGCCGCTGTTGTACCTGCGAAGGCGACGAAGCACCGTGTTTGCCGCCTGCTGGGACACGAACACAGCTCCTGAAACGGTAACAAAAGACCAGTTAAAGATATTTTAACTGCTCATAAGAACTCCTCCCATCGAGGCTGACTATATGTTACTTTAACACAAACAGAACCTCAGTATTCATGTTCCAACAGATTAACCAGCACTGCTGTATCAGGTTGTGTCATCGTAAATCTCTGACAGATGACACTATGACACCTGACCTAAGTTACATCTAATCTGCTTCTGAGGTCATCCTCTGCAGCTTCACATTCACAATGCATCTGCCATCTGCTTAGGCGAACCTACACTGGCCGATCTCACCGACTTAACACACAGCATCATCTGAAGCTTACGACCTCACACTGCAGTCCGGACGTCATCTATTGAGTAATCTTACTAATACACACCATTTTCCCCACAGTGCTCTTTGTAAAGCATCAATATGTTGTCGACTGTCTCAATATGTTGTCCAAATCATTACTTTATTTGTTAATCAGAGACAAATCTTAATAATTAACATCAATAGAATGTGTGTCAGATTTAGCCAAAATGTTCATCATATCCTGTAGTCCTATAGGCAGTTTGATATTGTATATTAAAAGAAGCTAATGCGGCTTACAAAAACACAGAGCGTGGCGAAATGCACTGTATGTTTTCCATTAAAACTTCATTGGAATCATTTGCATCCACATTTCTTTACAGCAGAAGTGACAACAAATTGATGAGGAGATGAGAGCTTAATGATAAAAACACCTTTTAAAAATTAGAATACCACTTTAAGATGTTGAGATCAGCAACTGTGCCTTTAAAATAGTCCAGTGGTCAACTGCCCGGCCATCAGACTCTTCTTATACTTTTCAGCTCTGATTTGGCTGCCTGCTACTGCTTTAATCAATACCTCCTCCTTTTGTTTACCTGCGTTTTCCTCTGTGAGTTCAGCAAGCAGTCCATACATCTCCAGCCATAAACCGACAACGAAAAACAGCGTACACACTCTGGCCATCTTGCCGTTGTCAGTTGTCTGTGTGATTCTGACAAAGCGATGCCGGGGGAAAAAAAAAGGCTAATCCACCACTCCAAAGTACAGCAACACACTGTTTACTCACCTGTGTGGCTGCAGAGTGTGTGTGTGAGTGTGTGTTGTTTGTTCAAATTTGTGTGTGCAAGTGAAAGAAAGAGAGAGTAGAATTTGGACAAAAGTGTATAAAACCTAAAGAATGTAGATATGCAAGAACTACAGAGGCCGAAAATGAATCATTCTGAAAAGCAGGTGATTTTATTCAGTCAAGTCAGGCTGAAATTGAGCAACACCAAATATTGACTGTTGATGAGTCAGGATAGTTTGGACATTGTCATGCGTATGTGTGCGCGCGTGTGTGTGTGTGTGTATGTGTGTGTGTGTGTGTTAACGTTACCAGCTGTTAATCGTGTTGTTTATCACGATGACTCTTGTCCGATAAGCAGCTTTTTGCAGCATGGCTTACGTGAGGGCTTCAAATGGGGTAAACACAGTCACACACACACGCACACACACACACACGTACACATGTCTGCGCTTCTCTATTTCTGAGGAACTTCATCGTCATTGCCCTAACTACATCACAACTACACATCATAGAACGTTTGATTTTTTTTAAATAAAGCTGAACGTATTAGCGATGACCAGCACATGTGCATGACCCAGTGTGCTCAGGAGTTTTGCTTATTCTGGGTGGGAGGACCAGTACTGCTAATATTTGCCAAATTTACACACAATTTACCAGACTCTAGCTTTCGGGTTGAATCACTTACTTTCACTTTTAATTGCCAGAAACAACAGATGCAACATTTACATAGCATTTAATTTAGCTATGATTTGGAATTTTTTCTAAATTAATTTTTTTTTTTTAAGAAAAAAAAAAAGAATATGCATAAGCCCCACTGAACGATAACTCTGTTCTTATGTTCTCTTTAAGGAAGCTGGAATAATAAAAAAAAAAATAGGTATTTTTTATGAGCTTTGAGATAAAGTAAATTAAGTTTATGATACTGTGCCACCTAACTCGGATGCTAATGGTAAGAATTGCTTGCATGCATAATTTTCTGTACAATTTGTGATGATGAAGATGCAGAAAAATAGAAAAGCAAAGCAATGGCATACAATAAATTTCACAAATCATATTCTCAGGGAACTCATGTCTTCTTTAGAGCAGACAAGCTTCCCTGTGCTTCACACTCTAGTCTGGCTCACCAGAATGTACACTTCAAAAATAAGCCTACCATTTCCAACGCACATTTCACACGGCCTTACCTTTCCCTTGAACTATCTGTGTGGTGCTTCTTACAAATTGCAACAGCAAACAAGTTTTGCAGAGAATTTGGTTTGTGCATTGTTTTTTTTTTGTGAATTGTCAATAACAGCGCTCAGGTCCCTGTGTGCACATGTTCTATGAAAACAATTCCCCTTTTCACTATTTTGCAGGGGCACCATCACTGCACCCTGGGCTTAACACTGCTCAAGACAAGTGTGATTGCTTGAAAGAAATATCCATCCATCCATTATCTATACACCTCTTAATCCTCACTAGGGTCGCGGGGGGGAGCCTATTCCAGCCCACTCAGGGACGGAGAACCCGAAGAGAACCCAAGGTTGCAAACTGGGGATGCAAACTGGGGATCTTCTAGCTGCAAGGAGATGGTGCTAACCACTGAGTCACCTTGCAGCCCCTGAAGGAAATATGAACAGGACATTTTTCCTGTGGCAGAATGATAATGAGGTAAAAAAAAAAAAAAAATCCAAGACCTAATCACATTAGTGAGGACCATTGTCCCTCACTGAAGAACACATACAAGAGCACACATACAAATACAAAGAGGTGGCTAATGCATCCAGATTCAAACGGCATCACCATCTTGTTGTGGGAAAAACGTTACTTTAAATCTAAGCAGGCAGCAGAAGAGACAGCAAACAAAAAATCCTTATCAAGTGCTGCAATTAGCACATTGTGGTAAAGAGCAGCCAGTCTCCAAGCTTGATGCTGAGCATTGGAGGCTGTTTGATTAGAGTGTGAGTTACACGGGGTGTGGCTGAGGACAAATCACTGTGACTGACAGCCAGTTCAGCCGGCGTTGAGCCAACAGCTCCCTACCAGCAGCGGCCTTGTGGCGATTTATTGGCCTAGGATGATTTAAATGGGGGGAGGGACGGTTGCATCCCTCGTTTTACTGCAACTTATGCCAGCGTTTAAATTTGTCCCCAAACTGGATTGTAAGGTAGACAAAAAAAAAAAAGATAAACAGTGAGGGAGGATAACAATTAACATGTTCACCACCCCTTTACTAACAGTTACGATTAGATCACTCCCTGCTGATTGGTGTCCTGGGACTGGATTCCTTCAGTGCTGCGAGGAGGAGCTCAGCGGTGGGGGAGGGGACCGCCGACATCAAGCGTCTCAGATGTAAATGAACAAAGAGGGGCAGGAAAAAGTGGGTTAAAACCAGGAAAATGGTGGAAACTTGCCCTCAGTGTTCATAATCTCCTCTAGACTGTGCATTGTTGTATGATTTTCTCTCACACTATTTAAATGTAGCTTGGATTTTTGATTGCAAATGAGTATTTATATAATCTTTATAATCTAATTGTGAAACAATATCATTAGAAGTAAAGATGGGCAAAAAACAAAAAACTACCATATAGTTAATTAGCTAATTTTTTTATGAAGTAAAGCGAACATATGGGGAGCAAAAGAAGCAAGTGTGTCACTTACAATTAACTAGATGAATTGTGTATCTTTATTTGTTCAGTATTTCTCTTATCTTGGTTTTCTTTCTGAAGTTTTTTGAAGCGTATCATCGTTTACGTCTGAGTTGAATCATGAGGTCTGCCCAAGGTTTATTTAGGACAAACTCACACTGCTCCCTTTGGTCATTCATCAAATCGTTGAGCTCGGTGGTGTAAATGAGGAGACGGTGCAGC